ACGTGTTTTCTGACACGTCCCCTTATTGTACATGCTGACAGTTAAGATCAATTTAACAGTCTTCTCTCTGTCTGTAGTGCAGTTACTGCTGAGCCACGGCGCTGACCCCAACCAGCGAGACAGTCTGGGAAACACCCCCCTCCATCTGGGTAAGAGAGAGCAGCCACCTAAACTTGTAGCACATAGCTGAGTTTCACCGACTCACACCTGTTCAATGTCCAGACAAATGAAAAGAAAACCCAACGTAAGGCGTCTCAGTAAAGTGCTGGGCTACCACGTGCCCCCGCTCATTCATTCAGGGTTTTCCTTTTATTTTCCAACCTCAGTGTAAGATCTGACATGTACTATGTATTTTCCATAGTAAGATCCTCCTGTTTGAGCTGCAGCAGTTGTTTTAAAACAGCTGTGTTCAATTATTTTGTGCCCGCTTCGGTGTGTTTCTGCAGCGGCCTGTACCAACCATGTGCCTGTCATCACCACGTTGCTGAGAGGAGGTGAGCCCACTCCACCATTACATGCACTGCACATGCACTGCTCTCTGTAAGTTGGCTGCAAATATAATCAACGTAGTTTTACCTTTTTCACAGTTGAGCAACAGTTACCAGCGGCGTATACGAAACATTTCCACGCACTGTGTAAACGTATACTAGACAAGTGGAAAATAAAATGCGATCATTGGCTGGACTTAAAAAGCTTTGAAATGAATTGGTTCAATAAAGGCCTTTGAATGTTTTAAAAATTCTGAAATTTTATTTTCTAAGGTCTTAAATACTTTGTCTCACATGTTTATATTTCATTTCCTCTTGTATATGACAAAATCTTTACATTTTGTGGCCACAACCAGCAAACGTGACAGTTTTTCTTGAAAAGTAAGTGAATCAGTTAATGACAGAAGTTGTTGATTTTCTTTTGATGGACTAATTAATGCATTGAGCAATAGTTGCAGCTCTAAATAGGCTGAATTATTTTAATTTAGTTAATCCATCCTCCTGCTCATTCATGTTGTCCACATCTGGTTTTCACTCTTTGGCTGTAGCATGTATTAAACTGCGTTCTATGGTTTTTAAACGGTCTTTAAAAGTCTTAAATTTAACTCAGTGAACCAAACAGAAACCCTATAAAATACTATTTCCCACTTAAAAAGGATCAGCTGAACACACAGTAAACGGGAAAGTGTTACTAACTGACATAGGATGTTTATCACATTGAGTGTCTGGGTGTCTCAGGTGAAACCTTCCCATTTGTTCCCATAATTATCCAGTTTAGTAATAATTTGCTGCTGAACAAAACTCAGCACATGCTGCTAATCTATTTGGTTTAAGTCTAAATATGTTTATCTGTTACGCTCCTAAATGCACAAGGATTAATAACCACAGTACCACCCACCCACAACATGTCCCTGAGTCTCTGTAGATCTTCTCACGCTGTACATGATCCATCGTGTCTCTGAGTTAGGTTCCAGGTGTTACAGGTGAAGAGTCTTTAAATTGTACTGAGAGTTGATGAACCTCAGGTTATGATGATTAATAGTTCATCAGAGTTGAGTATCGTGTAACGTTTGTGCTCTTCCTGTTGGCATCCAGGGGCCCGTGTGGATGCCCTCGACCGAGCAGGCAGGACCCCGCTGCATCTGGCTCGCTCCAAGCTCAACATCCTGCAGGAGGGAGATTCACGCAGCTTAGAAACCCTGAGAGGGGAAGTCACACAGGTCCGTGTCCTCTTCCTAGGGTCAGCGAGCTGTGGCTGTCTATGATTCATTGATTATTGTTGCATTTTAATTGACTAAAATATATATTAACCTGGCGGCACAGCGGAGCAGTGGTTAGTGCTGTCACCTCACAGCAAGAAGGTCCCGGTTTCAAGCCCCGGCCGACCCGGGATCTTTCTGTGCAGGGTCTGCATGTTCTCCCTGCGTGGGTTCTCTCCGGCTTCCTCCCACGGTCCAAAGACATGCAGCTTAGGTTGACTGGTGACTCTAAATTGACCCTAGGAGTGAGTGTGGTGGTTTGTCTAAATGTCAGCCCTGTGACAGACTGGTGACCTGTCCAGGGTGGACCCCGCCTCTTTCCCAATGTCAGCTGGGATTGGCTCCAGGCCCCTCACAACCCTATTCAGGGTCAGTCATCTAGATAATGGATGGATGGATATATTAACCTACAGTGCAGAAGACGAGCACATGAGGTCTAAATGTCAGGCACTGGGCTGTGGTTTGCTGTAGTACGTGCTTGCTCCACTAGGCGGTGCCTCTTCCTGTTTAATGAGTGCGAGTTGCATGTGTTTGCTGACCACCTGTACTGGAGCAGAGCAGCTGATCAGTTACTGCAGGCTAGGAGCAGAGTGTCAGTCTGAGCTCCCCTGTAGCTGCACTGCTAATGTTCAGGGTGAGAACAACTCTGATTCCACACTTGGCGTAATCAGCACAGATGTGATGAACTGCTCTGAGCATGGATGAATTTTACTGGTGGCGGGAAATGTTGAAAGGTTTTCTGGGCTGATGAAGTTGGTGCTACAGTGTTTGTGCATCTGACACATCTGTCCCAGATGCTGCTGTTTCCAGCAGCTGCACTAACATTAGCGACAGTCAGTCCCATACAGTCAGTGTATTGTGAAGCCAGTCTGCTGTGGGGAAACCGGGCCAGCCGGCTTCATGGTTATTTGATAGCATTACAGGTTGAAGGCTGAGGCTGTGCAGCAGCGTTTGTTGTTGTTAACACTTTGGTCTGGGCTGCTGTCGAACAACAACAGACAGAGGAGGTCATTTCGACACAATTTGTTCTTTCAGTTCCAAAAATTCTTTGATTTTTTTCAGGGGAAATAGAAAAAAAAGGTAAAGTAACTGAGTGAAAAGTGTAATGTATTTCATAAACTGTTAGCTGCCTCAGATTTGCATCCCTACTTTCAGCAACTGTGTCTGTGTTCTTAGTTTTTTTGTAGGTAGCATTGCCAAAGATTTGTTATGTGCCTTTCCTTTATAGATTATTCAAATGCTTCGGGAATACCTGAACTTGATGGGCCAGAGCGAGGCTAAAGAACGGTTGGAACACATTTCCACACAACTGCAGCACACACGCACCAAAGAACAGGTGAGACCCACGTACACACTGAATGGTTCTCAGGTTCCCAAGCATAAAAACAGGATCGTGTATCTAAAGTGACGTGTGTGTATTTTAAATGTGCATATGTTGATGATTTATTAAACATCTGCCCTGGTCATGGTTGTGTGTATTTCTTCTGTTTCAGGTCGATGAGGTCACCGATTTGTTGGCCAGTTTTACATCACTCAGTTTACAGAAGCAGAATTTGGGGGATAGGTAGAAGATAATGTGCACATGCTCCTTTTCATGCAAGCCTCTGCTCCACAAACCCGATGACAGAAAACGGGAGTTTTCTGCTAAATGTTTAACTGCAGTACTCAACAGTGATTGGTTTTACATGCACTTAAGTAACCAGGTTACAATCGGCTGATTTCTTAAACAGGAAACCTGGTTTCCAAAGTCAAGGTAGAGGATTAGGGAGGCCTGATTTCCCCAGGAAGATTTCTCCTGGAGAACCCCGATTTGTCTGCCATACATACACGTAACCAGGTTTTAATCAGCTTTCTAGAAGAGCGCATGTGCTCCAAGCTCCAAGGTAGTGTGCATGTAACTGGAGAAAAACAGGAAGTTGTCACCGGTGTAAACACACAATTATCAACATGGCGAGGAGCAGCAGCTGTATTCATTTCACAGCTAATGTTGTGATTGGCAGGTGAGACATTGTTAGAGACCAAAATCGATCAGATCCATCTTTGTTTAAGGGAGGATGCAGTAGCATAATGACGTCAAGCTTTCCAACTGTGGACGCACCCAAACAACATCTTTCAACATTCAGTGGGCTAGTGGGGAGGGATGGGGTGTCGGATTACATGCTGTGCATGTAAACACGTCATCTGATTTCTACCCTAACCTGGTTTCTCTCACTAACCTGGTTACTTAAGTGCCTGTAAACACAGTCATTGTGAGGACAGGTAGTCTGGTTCTCAGCCCTTCAAAGGGCTGTTTCGTGGTTCAGGTTAGACATTTAGGAAATGTGTCATGTGCTCACAACTATGGAAAGACCAGCGTGTGTGCTGAAATGTTCTCTTGTTGCCTGTCATTGTTAGTCACATTGAATAATCAGTGGTCAGTTTATTAGGACCATTGTTAGTCACATTGTGTGAATAATCAGTGGTCAGTTTATTAGGAACACTTGTCTCAGAACAAGTCAGGTGATAATGTTCAGGCTGTTTCACAGACGTCTCACTTCACCTGCGTGGTCAGTGGAGGCTGTAGTTTGTGCTGTTGCTCAACTGAACTTGTACAGAGAACTGTTTCTGTTTGCCTCGCTGACATAAATGGGGTGGACAGTATATTAGAAACACCTGTCAGTATAACTCTACATACTCCAGCCTCCAATATGATCAGTCACACAGTTGAACACACACTGAAAACCATCATGAAGGTAATAATGTCACTGACTTAGTTTGAGCTGAGTGTTCTTAATGAACTGCCATGTTATTGCTGAGTATTTGCCATGAAATTATTTAATTATTTAGCTGCATTTTTGGTTTTCTTTTCAGTAGCATGTTGCCTTTTGTCTTGAATTGCATGCTGTGTTTGAATGTGAACTTTATTGTAAAATTGATTTGGCTCTTGCTGGAAATGGAAATATGAGTCAATACATCTATCTTTGTGTATCATAATGTGTAATTTATCTGTCTAGGCGTGTTGTATTGTAATGTGCTTATTTTGATATCCACATATTAAATGACAGGATACGCTGAATGTGTTGCTAATATGGCTTCTTTTTCTCTACGTTGATTGGCTGCATCACCAAAGCCCCTCCTCTACGCGGATACGCATTGTTGTTCGCCGATAATCAAAGATGGCGGCCGGACCCGCGTAAACTGGAGAGACCATAGAGGTAGTCAAATTTAATAAACACAGCATTTCCTCACCTCTTGGTGTTTTCAACCTGCCAGACCTGTTATTCCAGGAGAAATGAGACATAAGTAGTGTTGAGTGCGTGTCCGGAACACTGCTTTCTCCACTTGAGGCGACAGCGGCCTAGCCTCGGGTGGAAGCCTGGGCTTTGCTTAGCTCCTCTCACCGGCTAGCTTAGAGCACACTGGCCCGGACAGGGTAGCGTGCTGGAGATGTTTGGAAGCAAGGAAGTCAAAGTGAATGGAGAGGGGGTGTGTTTGTGTATCTTTACAAAAGTAGGCGGGAATTTGTTTAGTCTATGATTTTTGGTTCTCTTTTTTTAAGTGACAGGCCTAATATTTACTGTAAAATAGTGCAATTTGTATTTTCCTCAAGTTGCGTCTGAGTACGTCTTCACTTTGGCTATGTACAGGTTACCTGTAGATCCGGTGTTGTTCAGACTAGCCAGAAATAGTTGCTGCAACTTCAACAGCTTTATTGATGTCTGTGTAACATTACAAGATACGGAAACATTAAGACACAAATGGACAATAATTCTATGTCTGTGCAGATCCTCCGTCATCCAGGTCATAGTAAGATGGAAAAAAACTTCAACTGGACTAGATTTCTAGGTCGAAGACGTTTCACCTCTCATCCAAGAGGCTTCATCAGTTCTGACAATAATTCTACTTTGATTTCTAACGTTAAACTCCCCTCATTCATTTTTGTCAGCATAGATATAATAGAAGATCAGAATCTTAACTTGCGTCTCAAGTTTCTTTGTTGTACACAACAGGTCGTTATCCTGACTTTGTGTTGTCAGTGACATCCTGTGACAACTAAAGTGGTCGACAAAGCAGGATCCATGGCTTTTGAGGAGCTCAAGGGTAAAAGAGAAATGGGTAATGTCTGTGTGTCCTCTTCATTATCAAGACTGGGTTTATGTGTGGTCAGAAACACAGTGATACATGTGCTGCTCCATTGATCTGAATGGTAGCTGGCACTGATGTAACTAGTCACTTTGTATGTGCTGTTAAATATTCAGTTTTTTAAATGTAAGGCAAAGAGTATAATCTTATTTAATATATTTCAGATATGGGGATGGAGGGAGAAAGGGGCCTTGTGGCCGGTCGTAGTCAGAGAGAGAAGAGGAGGTCGTACAAGGACCTGCTACGAGAGGAGGAGGAGATTGCTGCTCAGGTCCGAAAGACTTCCAAGAAACGACCCAAGGTTTGTTAAATGTCCAGAAGAACTTGGCCTCTAACTTCTAATATATTATGCTGCTTGATAGGGTGCTGTTGCACCTTTAAGATGTTGCACATCTAAAAACTGGTAAAGAAGAAAAATCATTGTGTCATTCTGAACCAGGATTCAGAACTTTTCATGCTGGGAGGGGACTTGCACAAAAAGAAGAAGAAACACAGTGATGACTACTACTACAGAGGTGAGGAGCTGCTATATTGTAATAATCCTTTGATTTCACAGAACTACAACAGCATCAGTTTACCTTGTGCTTTCTCCTCCCTGTATCAGAGCACGATGGCTCATGTCCACCTCCTCACAAGAAAAAGCACAAGTCTGCAGACCACTCTCCGCCTCTGTCTTCCCCCTCGTCTTCTACAGATACTGCAATGGGCCTCCTGCAGGCCATCACCTCTCCCCTAGCCACAGGTTCAGACCCCAGCCCCCACCTCCACAAGAAACCCTCCTACCCCTCCTTCTCTTCTCACTCCTCTAAGGACCGCAAACGAGAGAGCAGCAGCGCTGCTGGAAACAAAGGGAGCCACTCCTTGTCTCACTCCCGCCCCTCATCTTCATCGTCATCTTCCTCCAAGAAGCACTCCTTGGCTTCCTCAAAGTCATCTCTATTCCATGGTGGCGTGCCCAAAGAGGAGCCCCTGATGTTACGAGAGGCCGACGGGCTCAAGATGAAGCTCATCATGTCTCCAGAGAAAGAGGAAGGAGAGAGCTTCCCGTTCACGCCGCACACTTCCAAAGGAGGCGTGAAGAAAGAGAAAGACAGAGACGGGACGCAGCCGTCCAAGTTGCCCAAGAAGAAGCTCCAGCAGAGTCGAGATCCACTGCCTGTGGTGGGCAAGGAGGTGGAGGTGGAAGGTGAGATACTCCATTTTGGGGTGTTTTCACATTAGGCACGATTGTTTTTGTACCGTGCCCAAGCGCGATTTCTCCCCCCGCATGTCTGTTTTTACATTAGTAACATCGTTCCATACCCCAGCACACTTGTGTATCTACACAGACCCATACAGTAGGTGGCAGCATGCATGTAGTTAGTTTGCAATCTGCCAAGAAGAAGAAGAAGAAGAAGAAACAACCACTGACCTCATCAACTGAGCGCCATTTGTTTTTGTTCCACACGCATGTAAATACTGACAAATACTCCCATAAACCTGAGTATTTGTGTTTAGTATCCAGTTGTCTTTGCATGTTTTTGTTAGCCCAAATTTCAAGCAAGAATTTTATTTCTTCATTACTCCACAGAAATCGTTCGCAGCCATGTTTCGTAATGTTTAAGAAAGGGTCAGATATTAGGAACACCTCTGAGCATAATGTAGTCCAGTACAACACCACCTTTAACTACGACCTCAATAATAAATACAGTGGTGCAAATAAGTATTTGATAACCTCATCAACTGGGCGCCATTTGTTTTTGTTCCACACGCATGTAAATACTGACAAATACTCCCATAAACCTGAGTATTTGTGTTTAGTATCCAGTTGTCTTTGCATGTTTTTGTTAGCCCAAATTTCAAGCAAGAATTTTATTTCTTCATTACTCCACAGAAATCGTTCGCAGCCATGTTTCGTAATGTTTAAGAAAGGGTCAGATATTAGGAACACCTCTGAGCATAATGTAGTCCAGTACAACACCATCTTTAACTACGACCTCAATAATAAATACAGTGGGGCAAATAAGTATTTGATACACCACCGATTTTCCACGTTTTCCCACTTACAAAGAATGGACACATCTGTAATTTTCATCATAGGTACACCTCAACTGTGAGAGACAGAATCTACAAAACAATTCCAGTAAATAACATTGTTAGATTTTTAAATGATTAATTTCCATTTTATTGCATGAAATAAGTATTTGATCACCTACCAACCAACAAGAATTCTGGCTCTCACAGACCTGTTAGCTTGTCTTTAAGAAGCCCTCCTATCCTCCACTCATTGCCTGGATT